CCTCCTTCCTAATTATGGCAATTATGGCATTTTTTAGATGATCATCACCCACGTCATTGGATTTATAGAAGAGTTTCCACCGAATGACCACTGGGATCACCTGATCTAACCCCTTTTGAATTGTTTCATTGTATCATTTGAAATCGTGAGTGCATGCCACGCATCCTGAAACACTAGACATGCTGCGTTAAAGAATTATGGAAGAATGCCTATCAATAATACCAGTTTTCTTCAGGTATGTTCGAAACTTTCGTTTTGCTTTACCTGTTTCAACATTAGACAGTTTTTTTTTTCTGGTGAATTGATTGACACCACAGAAAAGAGAGATATGAATATGAAGAAGATGAAGCGCTTCCAAATGATGCGATGGAGGCAAGAAATGATAACGCGGATGTCGGGTTGTCAATTATTGTCCATAGCTCGGTCAAATCTCAACCGTTTTCCGAAAGCAGTGCACTTAAGTTATCACAATAGAGAAGGCTTTGAAATGATGTTTTGAAAGAAGGGTAGTTCTCTTCGAAATTTCAAAGTTCAAGTTGCTGGAGGTGAGGGGAATGAACATATCGAGTTGATTTGTCTGTCAAAAATGTTCCTCCCCAGTATTGAAACTAACGTTTCTCCGCGAATGCCGGTAGAAGATTCTAAGGGGGCCAGGATTTCGTTGGAATACCTTGTATATTCATGATTATTGCCTTGGAGTTAATAAGAGACTCTGAGTCTATTCAAAATCAATCCCTGATTAGAAACGTCGAGTTACACGTACTAATAAATCCAAATATATATCCTCTGCTGATGTCTGAACAGAAAATAGAGCGACACCCAGGGGCGTAAGTGATTTAACTACGGAATGGCAAAGACGAATAACGCAATTTGTAGCCAGCCGAACTAATTGCATCTCGGACAGTGTTTTAATGAGAAGCGGCTAGAGTGGTAACCCTGACACCTAGGGGAATATGAATTGCGATTGGTAACGCTGACATATCGCCACTTCCGCTTCTAAGAGACTACCGCCGAACCCCCATTCATTATGCTTCGATTCGATTGCAATCTGCTAGTTCTTCACCCAGATGCCTCTTGTTCATCATGCATGATGATCGATTTTTTGTTGATTTGTTACATAAAGTTAGATATTATGATTGTACTACCAGTAGACAGGTATCTGGATATGCAGAATACGGGAACATGTAGTTTGATTCGCAGATTAAGAGGGGTTATAAAAATGTGCAATTCGATGGTATTTTTGCAAGAGGGCGAATACGCCAAATGACGCTTTAGACGTTAGAATACGGAAAAAACTGTTCTAGATCACGTCAGCTACTTCACAATTTGTTGCGTCATTTTGATGGGTGAACATATTTCCCCTAATAAAGAGGAAAAGTTGAAAATATCGTTATAAAACACATTTTTATGGACATTCGCCCTTTTGAGGAATCACAATTTTGAACGTGGTATATTCGCCCTACGTTCGTCCTAGTTTTTAGAATAAAAAATACATTCGCCCATCGTCGTCTGCATTTCGCACTGACCTTCCATTGTGAAAAAATAGCGATGATTTCCACAAATATATTCTAGAAAAATAAAGAGAATAGAAAAAAAATGTGTTTCATTTTAGAAGCAACTGGTCACAATTATCAGATTCGTCTTCTCCATCCGTTTCTGGCGAAACATTCTGAATATGAGATTTGTAGGAAATAGAAATAAACTCTAGGTGATAATCCTTTCTGGTATTGTGAGATTATTGCATGAACTTCTCAAACCCAAATATTTTTTTGAGGCTATTAGGAGTTTCGTTTTATAAATTACGAGTAGCTTTATTGTGGATCAGTGGATGATGCTTTCTCAACCTTTTCTGGAAAACTAATTGAACAGAGGGTCTTCGTATTTATAGTTATTAAAGATGACTTACTGTTTTCCCCAATCACTCAAGATTATTTATTGATTCATAGCGAGAGTTTGGATAACTTTTGAAAAAAAATTAATATCACTGAGCAAGCATAACTGACTGTAACATGAGCAATACAACTCTAAATAGAAGTAATACTGATAGAACAAGAAATAAATAGACAACATACAACTACACAGGTAGTCTCCAGGAACCAAATCACTAATGATTTTTTTTGGGATTACTCATTATTATCAAGAGTCTCAAATATATTGCCAACTTTCTACATGACGGGAACCAAACAAAACAAGTACTCAAAATCATTAACCTTTAAGTTTTGACAATGGGGAAATGATAAAAGGTAATCTGAAATGTTTTCATGATTTTTACCTATGTTTTCGGAATTGAAGCGAGACAGAGGATTTTCCTTAGACCATCAATGGAAAACCACACATTACGTGACATTAACTTGTTTCTTGATAATGAATTTGAAATGATGCAGATATGAGCTAATTACTTTTATGAAATCCATAACCGGCGCGCATCATTATTTCAACTGATATAGAATTTGATATCCAAGTAATATTATAAATCGCTGTAGGTATGTTTCTTAGAAGGAAGCTGTGTGGTTTCATCAAAGAAACTATAGATAAGTTACCAACTGGGGAATGCCGCAGTTTCAAGAAATAACGATATTCGCTCATGAAGAAAAAACAAATGAGACAGTTGTGATCATGCACCAATCTGCACGCAGTGGCGTACATAATGTACAACAACAACAACAATACGCACAACACCCTCCAATATGAGTGCAAGCATAATCCATATTCTATCACAACAAAACCAATCATTAATGACGTAAAATGGTTATGGAATTTCGCAATTGTGTATGATCGTAGACTTGGTGGTCTTCATTAGCTATAAGCAATATGTCTTATTACTAGTTGGAACAATATGGAAACGTTCCTAGTTATTTATTTCGGCAAAAAGTTATTCCTACTATAAAGTTCTACATGTTCTACAATCTGAAATTGAATAATCAGATACGATTCTTGTTCAGTCGTATACGCGGTGTGTCAAATATAAGGTAATACTTTAGTCTTGCGTATAAATTACAATTTTTGACATACCGTCTCGAAAACTAGTGCCGGAAATCACAATTTGACATATGACACCATTTCCTTCGAGTTTGAGGATAGAGGTGCCTCATAAAACAAATGGTGATCCGGTTGGTCAAACTCCATATAATATTCTGATTATTTATTATTCTTTATACAATTCAGTATTCTTTGTGTGTATATATTATGTAGGTGAGATGGTATTCTGTCCCTCTTCTGACCGTTCTCCATCGAGAAAATCACTTTCACAATGATTTTTCTACGTTTGTCTATATAGGGAGTCCACATCTCAGAAATGATTTCCAGAGTTTGGTGATTTTTTGTTTCACTCGGTATCACAGAGTGATATCCCAACCCTCCCCTTGTTCAGAAGGCCTCTTCCTCCAGGACGATGTTGGGGGGAATAGGTTCAGGAGGCTTCCTATTGCTGCTGTTATGGTCAATACCCTGTTATGGTCAATTATTGGTCAAGCATGCTAGCCGCTCTAGACCAGCATCAAGCTTTGCCATCACCATGTACTATACGGAAATGGCAAATTATCCCCCATTCGATTTCAGAGAATATAATTTTTCATAGAGTATTCCTAAAGAACCAATATAAACTATGAAGCAAAATTGAAATAATGTTATTTTGAAATTGAACCTAAATGGGGTGCAAATAGCAGAATTTCCTGAAATCTGAAAAAGTATACTCTACACCAGATCAAAAACTATCATCAGAATAGCTTATGAACTTGGTTAAACAATTTTATTTAACTACCAACTACCGCAAACCGATTGACTTACTTATGACTCAGTAACTATCATCAATGATCGTTGTAGAATCAAACTAGTAGAATGATTGAGATAGATAAGGGAAGCAGTCAATCATCAACGCTGATTGTGAAAAGTTGATATTCCTTGTTTAATAAGAATCATTATCAACACTCCACCAACAATATACATACCTTCGAGCTCAGTAAAGCAATACTTCATTTATATGTATATACTTATATCAATTAATGTAAATTGTCGATAGATATTTTGCTCAGCCTTCTAGGGAAATCCAGAATTACAAGAAGTTAATACAGAATTGAGTACTAGTTATATAGATTTTCTCCCAAGTTTTGGGTTTTGGGTATAGGAAAGTTGATTTGAACTGGGGCTGGTTTGTATAATGAAATCGAATTATAATGAAACAAACATTTGAAAAATTGAGAGTCTCATTGTTTCACATTCAGTTTCTGGACCCACATTTCTGCCCACCCTGAAAATTATTCAATAGTTGTAATTATGGTTTTTCGTTCGTCTTAAATATTCACTGCATATCACTGAAAATTGCGACTGTTACATTGAAAAGTGAAACTCGAATAACTGAAAAACGGTTCATTCCATGTGAAGGAAATCATCATGAGAGAAATTCAAAAATATTCAGATGTATAGTGTCTCATTGAATATAATAAAGTTCACGTCACTTCAGGAAACACCAGAATCTTCACAATAACGGAAATATTTCAGTATGATTGTTTTGTCATCTTCCCTACGAATTTTCAGAATCTTGCTACTCTACTCATTGGTAGATCGTGTTGACTCATGAGTGTATATACCCTGTAAATAATTCCAGAAATCCTACAAACTAATTCAGAAGGAATTGCTTTGTAGGAATATAATCACAACATACCACGAACTGATTGTTCCTTGATGGTAAAAATGTGATGAAAACAGTGATTCCATAATATCTTGATTTTTGATATGACATTTTATTCCAGACGTCATTCTTCCATGTAGAAGGGTTTCACTTAGGACCACCATCATCTTCACCTTCATCTTCATCATCATCCTTCCATAACCATTTATTTTGTAACCTACTATTTTTTCTGCAACTATTCATTGAAATAATAATAAGAAACTCTTTGTTTGCATATTTGCGCATATTTTGATTTTGTATGTACGCCGCTGTTGGTGTTGGTATTCCAACCAAACTGATATTGCTATAAAGTGCAGAGAGGCTCTCGTTCTTCTCATAATCAGTAGAATATCTTTCGATATCTACGAGTATGAATATGACGTTGTTCAGGTTGTGCGCTCTGTCTGTTTTGATAGCAGTGGTTTCAAGTGCCGGTCTGAAGGAAGAATTCACCTGGACCATTCTCAACTACATTTGGCCCGGAACAGACAGAAGGGTAGAAGAACGTGTTTCGAGGAGACAAATTGATAATGTCTTCGAGGATCCAAATATATCTGTTGAAGCATTCGTCACTAGAGATGCACCAGAGGGCGTGGAATTCATCCCAGGTATGTAAATCGAACATACAGTGACGACCAAAAGTCCATTGCACCCCTTGTATCTTTTGAATTTTACATTTCACAAAAGAATGTTAGATGCATAAGTTGTGGGGTTTCATCAGATGTTTTATGCTCTAAAGAAGAGGGAGGAGATTGTTTTTGAATGGAACACCCTGCATATCATTGCCTTTTCAAATTTGACAGTGAATTTTGAACAAGTTTGATGATTAATTCTATATCACATAATGATAGTTTCGAATAATTATGAACACTTGTTGATCATCATTTTGACTATTTTTGCACCGAAAACACCGTAAAAAATGGAACACAATGTATTTCACTGTTCTATCCTAACTTTTAGGAAGCTTTGAACATATTTTCTTGAGTGCAAAATGAATAAGTTACAAGGTGCGACGTACTTCTGGTCAAGTATTCAATGTTACCAAAACATTTCTATATGATTATTCAACTTGTTCTTGAGACCAATAATCTCAAAGTTGTGAACTAACGATTACAATCTTCGGAAACTTACAAGAAGATCAATGGAGTGAAATAATTTCCAGAATGGATATCATAATAATAATACTGAAAATAATAATGATGTCAAATGGTAGAGTAAGCCTTTACCCATGTGTTAAATGTGTACAAGGAAAGTTCGAACGAAGATTCTTCCACCATTTTAAAGCAAAAATCAGTTAACTTTTTTTGACTTTTCATTCTATTCCTCTAACATGTTTCGAATTTCGTATTAAACATACTGGTCCCCTGAAAAAAAAAACAGAATAATGATAATAATAATACGATATTATAGTAAATTATCGAAGTACCTAGAGGTGAGAACACAAGAAGCGAAGTTCAATTTGGATGCGGCAAGCCTCGCCTAATTGCTCTTAAACTTAACATCACAAAATCTCTATCGGGCATTTTCAATAAATATAAACATTAAAATTGAAATAAACAGTACATACATGAAAAATAGCGATGGTGAACGTTAAATCATCTGAATGAGCGAATAGTGTTGAAGAATGGGCGTGTACACCTTAGTAGAACTTTTAACTCAAACCATCTTTATAATGATCTTTTTATACATGAATAATGATTGACGACATAATTCGATCGAAAAATTAACTGGAATGTTTTATTTTTGGGCATAAATAATAGTACCATCTGAAAACGGACCCTCTTATGACGTAGCAACCTCATCTCGCCATAGTTAAAACTTACATTTATCACTGTTGCAATATCATCCAAACAAAATATCCGAGAGATCGAAATCGATATTGAAATATCTTTTTATATCCACTTACCACTACTGCAGAAAAATATATATTCAAGTTGTCGACCATTTGCACCATTACAATTTCACAATAATCCAATATATTTCATGATAGCAGCAACATTGCTTTGTTGACCGGCTTCACATGGAGCTGCAAAAAGTTAATATAGGTTAGAATAGATCTTCTTCTTGTTCTTATTATCTTTGTCCCAGAAATCAACTTGACGATTCACCAATCTTGGTGCTTTGTCAGAAATCATGTATCATTTATCTCTGTCTGGAATAGTCTTCTTTCAGTATCAGGGTTTTGACGTCACATCATCGCCTCGTTTTCAGAGGTCTGAAAAATCGGGGATTTCAATATTTTTTTATAAAACGTAGGGAGCTCACAGCAAGAAACTGTTTGCGATGGTGAGCTAGTTTGGGTGAGTTCTATCGAATTATGCAATAAAAATTGTTTGTGATATAAGCCCATTGTTCGAATGGAGAGGAGGCAAGGTCATCTTTTTTCTGATGGTTGTCAAACAAGAAATAATCTCTCAGTTTTTTCAAATTTCTGTGATTTTTCATGTCTAATATTTCAAAAGAAAGTGGGTTATGGATTTAAAAAATGAGTTCATTTTCTTAATAAGATTTCTAACCATAACTGTTCAGAGTATTCAACATTTTGCTTTGATACGTTTTTTCACCTAAAATCCTACGTCGCCACCTCTGGATCCTTGGTCTTGTCTAAATAGTCCTTATCCACCGATACTGTATCATAAGTATTCTCTTTCCTAAATCATTTCTCACATATCAACAATAAGTCAAAATTATGATCAGACGCAATTTTCCTGACCCTCCACAAGAAGGGGACCAGCGACCAAACATCCAAAAAACCTATTCTCAATTCGCATTCCTAAAAAAAACACATGACACAAAAAAAGGACTGAAATAGAATACGATTGAAATGGAAACAAAGATAAGTCCTTCTGATACACTGCTTCTGTCCTAGGAATTGATAAATATTCTAATAGAGCAAAAAACCGATGGGGTGCGACAGAACTGCACGAAGCACTGCAAGTGTTATTATAATCAATTCTATTTTACGAGTAAATAATATGATTACTGATGTAATGAAGTCACAGTTAGAATAGAATAGAATATAAACTTATGAAAAATAGTTTCAACCGTGAATTCATAAATTCTGAATGTCTACCAAGTTACATTTTCTGAATTCATCATAACCGACTGCTTAAGTTGGTCCATCCATACTTCCCCATTATCTATAATGTTCTGGATTGCAGCTTCAATGATTTATAACTATTAAAAATCTTGTGATTTTCAGCTTCTTGCTGTTTCGAAAAGCATAATTCTTGTATGAGTTGTTCAAAAATTTCACGAGAATATAGGAGGAGTTTTATTCACTTCAAATTTTCCAATTCTCTCAGTGATTCCAATTGTATGGGGATTTTGAAGTTTGAGTTCCTTTCATTTTTCAGAATTTCTTATAATTCCCTTGCACAATGTTCACCTTGCGTTTCAGTAACATAATAAAATCGCACATTCTTCGTACGATTTGTTCATATTTTTCCTGCTTACTAACAAGGGAATGCATTATACCTACTTATTTCGCATCATCTCCATAATTTTCTTATTATCTGTTTTGGGTTGAATTTCTCAAAAATAGTTTGCGTCATAGCAGCTGTTGAGTGACTTAGAAAGTCTTCAGATGTACACAGTTTATAGTTAACTGACTGCAGTTCATTCTCTCCCTTTTTGATGTTACTTGTGGTTGACATTGTGAAGTGGTAATTTACTGAATAAACTTATTCAATACTGTCTGTAGGTTAGTCGAAGAGGTGGTACACCGTACACTCGTCTTCAGAGATCATGTCGCACATGGACGGTATCAGCTCCCTTGATCACCGCCGCAATAAGAGCGCTCATATATATTATTTCAATAAACATGAATAGGACAAATGAGATGATTTGTCCCTTTGTCCCAAAACGTCACTGCGTTTAAAAAATATTTCTATCAGGAACCTGCAAAGAAAAAACAATCGTTGGTCACTGACACTTGACACTTCGTTATGAAAAATCTTTGAAGAAAAGAAATTTCCATATTCTAGCTTTTACCCGCAGCTTCACTCGCGTTGAAGCCCTCGAATGAATATCAAAAATCATTACATTCCAATAGAACTGAATCAATCAGTATAATTATAATTATATTATATTATAATATTTCAAAAAATTCAGTTAGTTTATGAAAATAACTACTATTCAAATATTCTTCTAATATTATAATCATTGTTGAAAAGGTATTATTCAAATCCTCATTCAATTCGTTTGTTTTGTCGTCTTTTTCGGTTATCACGATGGAAACGGATGCGGTTATTCCTCATTCAATATATATGTTTTAGAATTGTGTTTCTGTTGGTATTGAATGATCATATTGTTAAATGTTGAAATTGATTTCCGAGAGTCATGGCCTTTCCACGTCAATTATTGATACAAAAAGATATTGCACTGAAATATTCGATTGATAAAAGAACTTCATTTCCATTCAAAATTATTATTAATTAATTATTTTCTTCAACCTAACTCAGTTTGATTCAGAGGTTCGATATACATTTAAAAAAAATGTCTGAATGAAATGGAGAGACTATTTTTGATGATAATTGAATTTCTATAATAGCATATGTCTTTAGTATACATAATCAATTCCAATTCGTGGTAGGGGGATCCTAAATTCGGGAATGCTAAGCTTCCATGATGGCAAAATCAAATCTGGTTGGTGACTGACAAATTCCCAAAATTCCAGAAAAAAAAACAGTTGAGGATATTGGGTGTTTTGAGTGCACCTACAAAAAAATTTTGAATCAAATGGATTCATCGTTATATACTCAGAAACTAAGTGATACACAGAAATTCATCAAGAGACAAGAAATTTGTAGTTCGATTTGTATGATCTGATGGAAATATCAAACTTTCAAAAACCTATGACGGAGTTATCCTATTTACCATAAATATCGAGAAAGTAACCAACTGCGACGCCACTGGAATCATTATTCTCAATTTGATCACACCAAAAGGAGCTTCTTGACAAAATCACTGAGTTTCATTGAAATTGAAACAGAAAATTTTGAGGTAATAATAAAAAAACGATTTTTCATTGAAACTTTGACACCCTGTATCATGAAAACGAGGCATTTCTGAACCAATGTTAACATGAACTCGTCTCAGAATCATCCAAATAATCACCGCTTGAAGTTTGTCACCCTGTTTAATGGTAAATATTTGTCTATAATGTTCTATCAACTCCATATTTTGAAGATGAAACTGATAATTTACACAAGAATAGAGATTGTTAACGTCAAATTGTCGCACCTGACCATTCATTCGAAATATATAAAATTAATATTTGATGGCAAGAGCAAATATTCTCCACAAAGAAATGAAATTGTTTGCCTGCTATAGTCAGCTTCAATACAATGAGATAAACCTATTCCTAAACCAACTGATGATTCGAGGGTACGAGAATCGAACGATCAGAAATTTCGAACTCTGGACGAGCATCGAGCAAGATTGCGAACCAGTGATAATAATTTCTCGATATCAGTTGATCAGTTCGCTCAAATAATGTTCAGTGGACCACGCAGAATACGCTCAGTTTGGAAAAATTTCGAACTATTGCAATGCATTTGTCCTTAGAGTAAATAGATCTGCATGAGTCATGAGATGAACTCTGACATCGAATTGTGATGACTGGCGAGAAGCAATAAATATATTTACATTGAACTCAACAATATTATTGTTCGAATATAAACTGCTTGTCAAATCAAGTAATCCATCACCTGGATATCTCACCAAATTCTGCAATCGAATATCATAAAGCCGACTTGATTTTCGGTTGGCTAGGCTTCGCTGAGTCGGTGGTCTTAGGACTGCTAGCAGCCACTCCCGTATGAGAATTTCAGTTTTGGAGTGATTCTTTCCTCTGTTCTACTCAGATGGCGTTACTTTCATTCTGTCGATGGAAGACGCCTCGGGGTGAATATAATGCCGACTTGATTTTTGTTTGGCTAGGCTTCGCTGAGTCGGCTGTCTCAGGACTGCTAGCTGGAGACTACACTGCTCTGATGAGAGTCAAAGAGCTCGAAACTGGTCTGTGGTTGTCTAGCGGCCTGGCTAAATCGAAATCAATAGGCATTCAGGAAAGAATCACTTGTATCAGTATTCGTTTATACGATTCGATGCATAGATTTCGAGAGGATGTAATTCAATGTCCTGCGTGGCATTAGCCAGGGAAGTAGTTGTTTTTCTCCCGAAATATACCATTGTTGTTCATTTTATGAACATTATGTGGAAATGACTTTCAGCTTTTTGTATTTATTTACCATTTCATTCTACTTTGAGCATTGTGGGTATTTCGTAGTTGATATATTATGTATTCCAAATTCTGAGGAAACACAGGAATTCAAAATCACACCCCTAACAACACTAGTACTTCCTAGGGACTTCCCAGGGACGTCCCTAATTTCAAATAAGGACATCCCAGGGATATCTTTTCTGGGACAAAGTACATACTAGGGACCTCCCAGGGACATCCGCTTTCAGACAAAAAGGACATCCAAGGGATGTCCCTCCTGGTACGTCCCTGGGATGTACCGAGTACAAAGAAGGGATATCCCTAGGACGTCCCAAGGATATCCCAGGGACATCCCTTCGACAAAAGAAAAAAAATTGTAGGTCTAGTTGGGATTGAACCCGGGACCTTCAGCTTATCAGGCACGCACCTTACTCCATTGGCCAATATGCCTTCTGAAGATTCATGTATTGAACAGATTTATAAACAGGACAACTACAGAAACCTGGATAAATAAAACTGTTAGGATTCGGGTATAATTATTATCATTCTTGGGTGTTTGAAAATGAGGGGCATTATGCATTTACGATCTCTGTTTGCGAAAAATGGTCATTTCTTGAGAAGTTTTGAGACTATATTCTTTATTTTCATCACAATTATTTTCCGGAAGAAATACATTTTCGAAAAAATTCGACTCAATATTTTGATGATATTGAATGACTCTCTGATGTGAAGAATGGATATCAGATATTCCAGGGACAAGAATGGGATAACCTAGGGATGTACCGGGTGGGATGTCCACTGGACAACTACTGGCGGGACATCCCCTGGATGTCCCAATCATTTCCTTGTACCGCGGGACAAAAAAGGGACGCACCTAGGACATCCCTGTGTTGTTAGGGACACTGATTCAGATCAAAGTTATTCCATTCATACACATCCCTACCATATTATACAGGGTGATTCATGAGAAGATTAACAAAATGGTGAATAGGAGAAATCATGACGAGTTGATGTATATGTAGGAAGAATGACCTGACTTTTCATAATGCTTCGCACCCCTTCGTGGTCACTTTGGAGACCTGCAGAACATTCATTTCCAAAGACTCGTTCATCCAACGAACAGCGAGGCTCTGGAACATATTGCCAAGGAAGGTGTTCCCCGAGGCATATAACCTCCAGAAATTCAAGGAGAACACCAATTCCTACCATATTTCCCTTGGTTCTCACGATGTTCTCTGAACATTACAGGATATCCTTTCTCGTGGGAACCAGAACATACAGAAAGAAGATATAGGGTGTTATGTGAAATTGCTATGAAACTTTAAAAATGCTCCATCGTTATTTGCTGAAATCTGTCAGCGTAGTTTCTTCACTGACACTTTTCTAGATGGCATATTATGAAAATTTATATCTAGGTCCGGATTCGGGAAAAATTCATATTTTATTGTTATATGAAAAGAGTTCACTTCGTGATCGCTTTCCTCGAAAAATGTCATCAGGTTCAGGAAGATCAGACAAAATTCCATAAGAACTGCTCTTCAATTTGCACAACACACTTTGACCGGTTCAATAAAAAAATATGAAGCAAAATCGTTCGAATGAATTCTCAGTTTCGTCCTGGCTGATAACTTTCAACTTTCAACTGGGTTATAATATATACTTTCTAGGAAAAAGATTGCTTCAGAGGCCGAAGTCAGATAAAATTATTCAGAAAGAGTTGTCTCCCATTATCTCTCGAGTTATTTTTCGAAAAAGATACTTTCTAAGAAGGAGGTTCATTTATAGGTCAAAGAAGGTGGTATCTTTTCTTCGCTCAATGATTTTCGGAAAAATATATTTTTTTGAAAAGAAGTTTATATAGTCCGAGTTACAGCTTGTTTGAGACAAGTATATAGTTTCTTCTCTTCGCTCAATCGATGTTCAGAAATATATACTCTCTAGGAAAAAAGTTCATTCAGGCCGAGTTAGGTCAGTTTCTTCGAATGGCTATAGATGGTCCTCCTGCCCGTTGTTAGCTTCGATTTGGAGCATATATTGATGTTACCTTGATGAATTAATTGTCAGCAGCCCTATTGAATTATTGTACTCATTAAAAATATTCACATAACATTTCAATACTATTCAATTATACATTTCTTCGTCGCGGTTACAGTGTCATAGAAATAGAACCAAGTCAATGCATTGGCGACCACGTGCTGTTCCAAAGCTGTCGTGGTTTTCCGTCCACTTTGTTTTCAAATACGGTTTTTTCAGAAAACAACATTCCAATGGGTGCCAATGTGTGGAAAAACAAACTCTTCATCACTGTGCCCAGGAGACAACCAGGAATACCATCAACTCTGAATTACGTACCACTGGACAGCCCAAACAGACACAACGTCCCTCTGATCCCATATCCAAATCTAGAAATCAATAGGTACCCTGGAGGCAGGCAAAATTTCCTCTCTGTGTACAGGGTGGCCATCGATCCGTGCGACAGACTCTGGATGGCTGATACTGGATTGATCGAGACTCCAGGTAGGAATAAATGAAACAAGTTCTATTACTTGATTTACCATTCTTCTGTTCTTAATGTTTTCATACACTATGTGTACCTATTAGGCATACTGCTTGCATTGTTTTCTGGGGATGAAAAAGTACTATAGTTCATTGCTGGTTCGATCATATAATAAGTAGGTTGCCTTGCATTCTTCTAGTAAAATAGTGTATTTCCTATGGATCATGATTACACTATTTTCACGGTATTGGAGAATCGATGGGTATAATTCATTTTACAACGATCACTGGAACAGTACTGGTTGAATTATGAATGTAGGATATAGATTCCGAAATGACATAAAGTCATCAATGAAATGACAATGGACCATCAGCCTATCAGATGCATTTTATTGACATTATTTTATCGACAATGGACAATTGATGTATTTTTCATTGGTCTTCCATTTTGTTTTTCTCATCCATTTGCGCATGGCCGTCATTTTTTATTGTGAGAAGTGAAGAGTGAACAAGTGAATAGATAGGAAAGTTCTATTAAGTGCATTATATGCAATCTCATCGAATCGAAATAACGATTGTTGTAAAAACTGATACTCTTCTTCGAATCGTGACATATTTACTACCTCTACCATGAAGTTTCAGTCCCAAGAGCAATTAACTGCTACCTCAGACACCGCTTCAGACTTGAGTCTTTGATTCCACCTAACTATTGTTGCAGCAAGCTAGGTAATATGCAGTTGTGATTTACAGAGGTTATTACTTGAAATTCACAGATAGTTCATTTCAGATGAGCCAGATCAATGGAGAGAGGTTCTCGAGTTTTGGTCATTTCCCAGATATTCCAGAAATCACAATATCATTCAACAAAGCGGAATTCATGAACTCTTGGCTGATTGACAAACTTCTCTGTGTAAGAATCAAACACCTAAATTTCATTGGAAATATAGAAAGACGCATGCAGTCATCACTGGGCCAACATTTAATAAGCAATAAATGGAAATAGAGCTTCGATCATATTGGCGTTAAATTGACCAGTGGGCAACTTTAGTGAATTACCAATAGAAAATGCCAATATAAAGCCAATGATAGTTCACTTGGGTGACTCTGTTCTAGAAGTAATAGCCCATGTAATAATGTTTGCCGGCAAGTAACCTCTCCCCAGTCTCCCCACTTCTGAATAGCTCGGATTCCTTTTTTCGGCTTCGAGTGCCACATTTTGATTCCGATAAAAAATGGGTATTTTAGAAGATTATTTTCAATGAAACGGAGGAGCGAGCTAGTGCTACATCTGCTATACTCCTCTATACATCTCCAAAATTTCAGATTTGAATTTTCGTCCGAAACAAAATGGCGGATGGGAATGTTTGAGATCTCATACCCAGGATCCTTTCGACAATTTTGAGGAAAATTTCAAGTTTTTCTTAACCATTTCAAGTATTGAAGAATGTTTTCTTATACAAAATAATGTCCCCCGTGTAGCTAACTGGTTTATAGAGTATGAATATGCTGTTGAACGAATACATTTTTGAATTGGAAAAGTCGAATTGAAGATTTGGATGTAAATCTTGAGTCTGACTTCCGATTCAACATATATTATAAGTATATGATAAAGAGAGCGCTCAGAGTACCTGGATTTGTCATCAGGAATGCCAAAAACTATAGTAGTACTGTGATCAGATTATATATATATGATATATGATAATGTTTATATTGTCACCTCAGACGAATCGTCATGAAGATTCGATAGAAAAAGTACAAAACCCCTTCCGGAGATACCTACTTGTACCACAGAATATACCCAACAATACCTGATAAGAGATTACAATAATGACGTCATGAAACCTTATCTTTATATCGAGAATCAGTAGAGAAGAATCCATGAAGATGTGCATTATGCATGTTCGTATTTTAGAATACGATAATGCAGTGTTGCCGCTTCTACTAGAAAGTAGTAGCAACATTGATATTTCGAATAGATTCTTCCTGAAGAGTGGATTTCATCGATATATCATACTTGAGGTCTATCGACAATGATTACAGAGATAAAGGGTGTTCAAAATCGAGATTTTTCAACTTCAGTATCTTTTTTGTCGAAACTATTCATTATCGGTCAAAACGGATCACAGTCCCTATCTCAATTTGTGATTCAATATTTACTGATATTTATTCGAAACAGATACAGGGTGGTTTGAGATTCAGAATTCTGATCACCCTGTATCTGTTCCGATTTAATATCAGTAAATATAGTGAATCGCAAGTTGAGACATAGACATGCATGTGGGCCGTTTCGGCCGATAATGAATAGTTTCGACACAAACAAATTCTGAAGTTGAAAAATCTCGATTTTAAACACCTTATATCTCTGTAATCATTTACGATAGACCCCTAGTGTGATGCATCGATGAAATCAGCTCTTCAGGAAGAATCTAAAAATGCTAAAATACAGGAAATTCTATTTGAAATACCAAAGCTGTTGCTACTTTTTTATATTAGCGGCAACACTGCATTACTAAAAATTTTCAAATGGATCAGAGAGAGCGGATTCTAAAATATAAGCATGCATATTTTCATGGATTTCTCCCAACTGATTCTCAATATAGAGATAGTGTATACAGGCTGATTTTAAAATGAGTGCATATATTCAAGACATATATATGAGAGAGTCTAACAAAAATTACTAAAATATTTCATTTTTCCTAAGTCTTCACATTAACGAGAAATTTCATTTTGAAAATTGAACATAAAATGCTTCGAAATTCGAGTACGCCACTGGGAAGCAAGTGAAATTTGCGGAATCCTAGGGAATCCACAATTCGTCATTCACTAAAGTCAAAACAAGACAGTGATGCCAGATTGTTTCAGAGACGAATATCCTGATAAAAATTTGTCACAGAATGAACATGAATTGAAATAGGTTATGGAAACTAATAGAGGTGAATGTGATATGTACAGGAGCCTTATTTTTTAAAGTTTACTGAGAGAACTGTGGGTTGATTATCTCCATGGATCACGAGAGACGGAGAGAAACATGAGGGGAATGATAGAACGTCCCCCTTCCCCCCCGTTCTTCAATTCGAAAATAAGGCCCCAGCGGGTAGATACAAAATTAGCAGACAATAAATAGGTACACAACATACACAAAGTTGAATATCGACTGACCTAGTAGATTTTCTCATACCTGCTCGAACAGCAAAACTCCCGAGAGCAGGGTTGGCAAATATCATGATATTTATATATGTATATCAAAATATCAAAATATCATAATATCGGATATATATATCCGATATATATCGGAAATTTCGATTTTGTTCCTAGGCTGATATGCCAAAAAAAAACACAATATAAAATACAGTCGTCTTCAGCGAACATGTCGCGGTTGGACGGTATGAGCGCTCATATTGCAGTAGTGATCAAGGGAGCTGACACCGTCCATGTGCGACATGATCTCTGAAGACGACTGTACCTTCATTTTGGTAAAAACAAAAATAAAACTTCAGTTTAATTCTCGGTTTAATTTGAAATAACAAAACACGAAACAAAAAATAATATTTTTCCGAAAATATGTAATATATGGTAATATAAAAAACTCGTCGTTTGTTAAATTTTTAAGGATTGCAAAACCGAGAAAGAGGAATATAATCATCATTATCAATATTATCATCTTCACTCAAGGCAACTAATTCATCATTCGACGAGATCCAGTCCAAGCTTTTGGCTTTTTTATCTGTATTTGGGTTAAAACATTTAAAAATAAATACTAGCTTACTGGCTTTTTCGTTGCCTAGACGATTTCTCAATTTAGATTGAACTATTCCAAAACTCGAAAAAATTCTTTCTAAACCAGCTGTTGCCGCTACTGCACTGAATAACTGCTCACATAGTTGTAAGAAGAGTTCTTTTTTTGGCCATTCGGAGTCAGGAATTGCAACCGATTTCCACCAAATCATTGTATGCGTGAGGCCTGTTCGTTTGTATTGCTAAACTTGCTAAAGTTGATTCTTTTTCCATAGTTGTCTCTGTTCATGGCATGATGTTAACAAAGTAAGTCATAGAAAAAAATCGAGTTCAGCAGGTAGAGCAAGGACAAACGAACACGCCTGATGTACCATGTACCTAACAAGCAGTAAACAAAAACCGGGGATTCCCCAAGTTGTAAGTTATAACCACGAAACGCATTGTTGTCACGTATTCATTTTTAACGCAAAATATCAAGGACTTTTTGCTCCGGTATTTATTTTGTTAAAAAGAAGTAAATGATATATATCATGATATATTTCAATCAATAAATATCAGATATATATCATGATACATATCATGATATATATCACTTGATATATATCGGCCAACCCTGCCCGAAAGCAAACAAATACTAATATCGAGTCCATTCCATCCAATTATTTTATTTTTTATTTTACGTTTACAATTATTTTACAAACCAGACGACACAAACAAAACTATTATCATATGATCTGTCAACATCATTTCTCAAAACAGCAGTATCTGACTATCTGTGACCATAGATTTCCTCTTTGCTGTGACCTTTGACAGTACTAACTAGGATTGTTCGCGTTCTATTACTATTTCACGAAGATTGTTACGATATTACGATTTGTCATGATAATCTATTACTATTTGCTATTAGCACCAAAATATGTTCCAATACTAAAAAATCTATTTCTATGCTCAGCGGATAATTATGTTCCGTTCTATGTTCTATATTTATGTCAAAACTGTGATTAGTGCGATAGGGTTTGACAAGAATGACATTCCGAATGTCAAATGTCAGATTTTTCTAGTCTATTACCTTTTGATACAAATCTGATACCTTTTTCCAAGGAAATCTATTACGAAAAAATCAGACCCAGGAACAACACTGACTAGTAAATGTAAAGTTTTTGTTTCTGACAATTTGCTTGGAAAGTGACGATGCATTTCTCAAACATTGAGCTGAATGATATGGTTCTTATGTCGGGTCGTTATTGTGCGGGGCCCATGAGACTCCTCGAATGACACGAAATTGT